GCTTTTCTTGCAATCTGTATTCCCTACAGAACGGACAAATACATTGTAAGATGAGGCACCAGCTAAACAATTAACATCAAAACTATACTACATCCATACCACGGGCCTCCAAGCAGTTTATTGCATGTACACAAGTCTGAATATATCATTATGTCTGTGGCAATATAACAAAATTGCAACAAACTGACTTGATGATATAGAATATCACATGAGGAGTTTTAACCTTATTTTGTGTCATAACTTTCGTTTAAATAAGTTCATAGTTCATTGTACTTTTATACCATTTATTTATAATGTATTATCAAGTATCCAGCTTCACCATCGAAATTGCAGTTGAATAGCGTGTGAATTTGGTAATCATGTGTTTTCATGAGCCGAAACATGTGGCCAAGCTAATTTTAGCCTTGACCATTGTATTGTTGTGTTGTGACGGACTGTAATAATGAAAAAAAAATACTATACCGGAATTTGCTTGGAGAGACTGAGTGTAGTCGATGTTCCAGCCGAGATTAGAACCGGACACCTCATAAGAGCAAGTAAGTAGCGTTATCGCTTGAGCCACCTTGCTCGGTGAGATATCTCGACGAGCAGATCATTCACATAATATGCTAGACCTATTCATCTCTGTCAATAACCACAGTCTCGCCGCGATTGTTTGATCTCTAGTGACAGCTATCAGGGCTGTCCGCCTCGAACCAGCATCAGAAAACAGATATGTATCTACCAGGCGCGTTTCCAGCTCTCTGTATTTCCGTCAGCTGGCCTACAGTTCGAAAGTTGAAAGGAACACACAGAAATACACATACAGGATATGTAATCTTATTCGCCTACGATTTTTCTCTGTAAAAAAAATAGTTGTTCCAAAATCCAGACGTTACGGCCTGTTAGTCTAATTCAGCAGACAAGTCTAACAGAATCTTCTAAAGAAAGCTGTGGCTTAAAAGAGCCGTTTTGCCAGTGACGATGATTATGTGATGAATACGATCTGCCTCATATAATTTTCTCCAATTTCTGTCACATCATCTTCCTTAGATATAACAGAGGTTAAATACACGGAAGCAAGCAACATGAGTGTTTGCGGAGAATTCGTGTGGAATCCCCATGCCTCTTAGGCAACTTCTCCTCCACCTGTGTGAGGCGAGTGAACCTATCAGGCGTTTTCAATGGTGTGATGTAACAGCTGCACTTCCTTTCAAGCTACTCTGAACGGGCGATTTCACGGTTTGTGTTGTCATTTTCATGACATGTGAAAAACACAGCTGTCTAATCTGCATTCATTAAGCGTTCATTGGGCAGGATGTGTGTAACAGACCTGGTATCATGTTCCCCCACTCTCTTCCATTCTAAGCAGAGATCTCTTTCACGTATATGTTATCTTTATCACGCAATCGATTTTCGCCCTATTTTAAGTTCTAAATTTTAGTGAAAGACAGACTCAAGTAGGTTATATCCATTCATTAATTTGCATGTGAAATATAAAGACGAGAGCCACAACGAAAGCAGCAAGACAAGGCAAATGGTAAAGTTTTCCTTATACTTAATTACGCACCACTCATGAGCATATATGAGGGTAGTGGAGGTATAGCTCCAGTCAGTGGTCAGCTCCACGTTCCAGCCACTGAAGAAAGAGCGACTGATGCTCATTGGCTATTAGGCTGGGTAGAGCCCAGAGCCGGTATGAACGCTGTGGAGAACAGAAAAATATATTTCCCCTGCGGGGAATCGAACTCTAATTCCTGGGCCATCCAGCTCGAAGCCCGCGGCTGTAGAAAGTGAGAAGAAGTAATATCAATGGATATGAAAGGATGCCCATAAGTGGAACGAGTAGGAGATAATGCTGAAGGCAAAGATTTGAGAGAAACAGTTTTCGAATTCGTCTCAGGTTACAGACACTTACGGCTATTTGTATTAATCAATGCCCAGTCTCTTTACGCGAAAGCCATGGCTCTATATTCAAATAAGTTAAATCGTTCCTATTAAAAATTCTTCCTTAGTCACCATTCACGATCATCTTCCCGTTCCAGTCGATTGCATATAACTTACGCAGGTGATAGAGTGTCGTTCAACTTGTGAATTATTCATCAGCCACCGTGCTGACGGAATTTGAACCCATAGAAAGACGCTGGTTAATGATAACGACGCCGGGATCCAAGAAATGTGGGTAATTCCATGTCA